GACGGAGAGTCTAAACATCTTCCTCAGAGGAGCGAAATTTCCCAGATAAAATCGAGCATTGAGGAATACGATGAATAGCTCGGATTCAAGTGCGCAAAACGTGCGCGAATTCCTCGCGATGCGCCTTTTTGCAATACGTTTCTTCGTCGGCGCGGCGAAGGAAGGTTCAAGGCAGAGACCGGCCCACCGCCATATTGATTATCCGGGCGGCGCGGAAGGGTCGTCCGGCACGGGGAAGTCCGCGGTAGAATGAACGCGGGAACGGGGGCGAGAGGTTGACCGAGAGGTATAGAAGGAAGAGAGAAAGAGAGAATAGACAGAGAAAGGGAGAGCACGTTGTGTAAAGAGAAAAGATATACGGCAGTGGAGAAGAAGGAGGAGAAACGGTGAAGAGGAGTGAGGACGAGGAATAGTAACGCGCAGTGTGTCCGGACAACGCTCCCGCCGGGGCCAACTAACGGTCCAAACCACCACCATCACCATCACCATCGTTCGCCACCGTCACCACCGGCTCGCGAACCTCACTTCGATAGTTATCGTCATCTTTCTCCTTCCTCTTGCATTTCTTCGCGCTTCGTTTTTCCTCCTCTTCCTCCTTTCTGTCTTCATCGTAGTTGTGGTCGTCGTCGCTATGTCGCCGTGTTCGCTCGACCGCGGGTGTGCGCAGATCCTTTTAAACTACAAATTCTTCGCGATCGGTCGTTTACATTTCCTTTTACATTTCCTCACGACGGATTCCATGAACGTAGACGAGGCGATAGCGCGACGAAGAGACAACTCAGGCGTGAACAATCGCGGAGAAGTGGTAACCTTCCTTCTCTCGTGAAGGAACGGGGGGGGAGGGGGAGGACTTTGGTGCGCATTTGTTGTCGAAGATTACGGCGATGGTATCTCTTATCGTATCCGGTACTTCCTACTTGTTCCTTATCATGCGCGGAGAATAGAATAAGCCGCGTTTAGTTTGTGAATACGAAAATGGAGTCTATTGCGCGTTGTCTTCATTGAAGATAACTTGGAAAGCACAAATTTGTGTGCACACTTATTGCTTGAAATCTGACGCATATCTTCGCGATATTAGTATTTACTAACATAGGAAGCGAACATATCCAACTATCTGATTATATAAAATGTTAAAGGCTATATGTAAGGAGTATTTTAATGTTTTCTTTTATAATATAATATATTGATCTTCGATATACTTCAATTTGTAACAATATTGCAACAATGTTGCTACAATGTGTAATATTGCTGCAAGTTTTATGCTCTGTTGGAATATATTATAAATTTTCCAATAATACTGTCTACATTTTATGACAATTTGAATGAGAAGTGATCAACATCTTGTACTATCCTTTAATAATTAAACATTTTTTTGTTTCAATTATAACTACTTTTGCAATGATATCGTTTACATTTTATAATAATTTACATACGAGAGATAATTAACATTTCGCGTCAATTTAATGATTAAATATATTTTTGTTTCAATTGTACAGCGAGATGTAATTTGTAGTTAAGAATATATTTTATCGTAAAATATTTTGATATGATGATGATCTGTTCTACAACGAAACTTTCTCTCATGTTCTTCATCCATTTTGTTACAAGATTACCCTCCCTTTTCAAGTTTCTTTGTCGTACCTACATACCTCGGTGACGCCCGCATTGCATATCATAACGGAGCGAAGTAATCGGTCGATCTTACCTGATCATTTATTACGTCTATTTTTAGACATCAAGGTACTGTCCTCGAAACTTGGCGAGGTCATAAAACTGGAGGTACTCCAATGACCACCGCACCGGTTCGTTAAAAGAGCAGAGAAGAATGAGGAAACTTCATATTGCGCTTCATCGTGCGCGATCCAAAGCGGATCCACACAAGTAAAAAGAAAAAACTCCCCCGTCCTACGATCAAAGGTCCGACAAATTCTCAAGTTACAGGATCTTTCACGTTAGAGCTATCGTCTATTCTGTTCGTTCTAGTTTTTTGTGCCGTTCTTACGGCGATTCGATGAGCTTCCTCACATTTTATGCGAATCCGTTCCTCACCGCGTTTACCGCAATTGCAACCGGAAGCAAGGGCTACGAAATGAAAGGCTAAAAAGAGCCTTTCGGCATTAGCTACGGTCCAATTTCTTCCAAGTTTCCAAAGAAAGAGTAAATAAAAAGAGTAAATAAAACTAAAAAGTTCTGTATCTGTAAAAGATCTGTGTGACATAAACCAAAAATTTTACCCTACGCTATATATAAATCTATAACAGAAAGAAATTTTTAAAATTTTAAATTTATGAGGGATGCACGCAAAAAAAAGATGTTTTGTTAAGAACAGTCACGAAGGGAAAACTCATTGGAAAGACTTTTCTCGGTATTCTTATTATCTTCCGACAAGGCCCTCAACGTCAATGTATAACGGTTAATAAGAAAAGCAGAACACTAAATCATAAAACTTCACCTCCAGCAGTTTTAGTGGCGTCTTATGCAAAATCGTCAAGGATTTTCTATCAAATGCAGTAGATAAGTGTGGAATAAATGCTTTTCGCATCGGCAAACACCGAGAATAATTCAATTTTTTCAGTTTCATTGTCATTACATGAATCAGAGTTAAAGTCAAAGACAAAGCAAAAATTTATCTTCACGCGAAACTTATTAATATTTATATTAAAGCCTGCCTTCGAGGATCTTCAATGAATTTTCTTACAAATAATGCGTGTGAACCACGAATTAAGAAGTGAATGTTGTAACTTTTCATCGTAAAAATAATTCATATAATTTGTTTCTCCTTGTTAAAAATTTAAGAGGAGCTGCATCCCTGATCCTCCTTGCATACCCGGCCATAAGAATAGATATAATTAGACTGCCTAAAAATCGCTATAGATAAAAGATGGACAGCGAAACGCGTATCAAATAACCACGTGGCAGCTGATGCGTCTTCATTGCATATTCTAAACCAGGATTAAGAATTTCAGGGAAAAGCGGCTATTGTGAAAAAAAGGAAGGAGGATATGGAACAAGATGGGAACCAGAACACGCAGGAGCGCTCTGAGATACGTCACGAATAATAAAAACTATACACGCGCGGTCGCGAATAATAAGCCGTGCATCGGGATGCACACCGATCATATTGCATTACGTATTCTCCCGACGTTTTTTCCGGAAAAAAAGAATGGATAAAAAAACTTAGCCGTCGGTTCTCGGTCAGTCGATCCTGCTGACCTATTTGTGGATTTATAAAAAGCTTTGTAGTATTTTTAAGAACGTAGACAATGAGATAGATCTAATGATCAGCACACGTAGCTATTAAGGATATTTTGTATCAGCTAAAAAGATTTGTATCGGCTAAAAAAGTAAATATCAATCAAAAAGTGTTCTCGTGAATATACCTTAAACTAAATACAAAATATAAAATTAATTATATTTAGCTTTTAATAGTAAATATTTAGCTTTGAAGAGAAATGATGTTTTGTTGCAATTTTAGATAAATAACTTTTAAATGATAAATAACTTTTAAGTTGATTAAAATGAATTTTTACGAATATTTAGTAGAGTACGTTTTATTAGTGTATATAAAAATTTTATTTTATTTTATATTTATTATAATGCTATTTCCTCATCAAATTGGCAAATAAGTACTAAAACATGATCTTACAGATATATTTTTAAAAATAAGACAAACAAAAAAATTAAATAACTTTTAAATCAATAAGAGAATTTTGTGCTCAATTTTTATACAAACGAAATTTTTATTCAGACGAAATAGTGGAACAACTTATGAAATTTTATTATTTTGATAATGCTTTGAATTGACACTTAAATCTTTGTTTCCACCATGTTAGAACTTCGAGATTTTGAATAAGAGAAGCATTTGAATCACATTATAGTCGTAAATCGCCATCTCACGCTTCATTTGAATGTATGAAACGGAACGCATTCTAGGGAGCACTCGGATGGTAATCTGGGGGATATTGTGTATCTCAAAACTTATTGTTAGTGTAAATGATAAAAGTGAACTCTCACTTGATTGGATAGTTTTCATCATAGGAAATGCGACATTTCTCATGTGACATTGCTTGACAAGAAATTCTATGTCGAATTGTATCAAATGATATTAAAGCATATCGAGATTGATCGAAATTAGTTGAAATTTGTCAAAATCCGTTCTAAAGATATTAAAGATATAGATTATTGGTTTCTAGTAATAGACAATATTTTTGTGCTTTGTATGGAAGAAAATGACAACGAAAATAATAAAATTCGCAAGACATTTGAATTTAATAAAAAGACGATTACGGGATCACTCCAAGATCCATTTGAAATCCCAGACAATACAGTTAGAAAATTATAGATTAGTATATAAATATGTAAATTATTTAAATAATTAAGATAATGAAATGACATATACGATCGAAGCAAATCTTCATGTCTTATAATATTTTTTGCGTAAATTTTAAAATTTCTAGCTCAAACAAAAATTATAAAATTGTAAAATTATAAAATTCACTTAAAAATTTTATTGGACAATTTTATTAGTCCTGCTTAACTGTATAGATAATTTCATTATGTTAGTTATTTGAATAATACAGTTCATAAAGTTTCATATCCTAATGTTGAAATGAATTATATTCTGTTATAAATTATACATATACACGTGTGTGTGCTTACGTGCGTCACAACAAAAGTTATGTATCACTTGTATTTCGCACTCACATCTGTGATTTTGACTCTCGTAAGTATAGGGACATCATATTTCTATTAATCTCATAACCAATCGCGCGTATTTTTTCACGCGAGATGAAAGTGCGAGAAGGGAGAATATTTGACAATGATACACAATCGATCCTCTGATGTGAGTAATAGTTAAGTGTGTCGAATGTGTCGATTATTGATGTATGAGTAAGTTAACGCATGCGTTCGTCCGGACGTGTTTTGTTTTTTGCCCATTCTTGCCGACGTTCGCTCTCAACTCGCGACAGTCACGACGTCTCATCGCACAGTGTCGCGGATCGAAATGTATTCGGCCACGTATATCTCCGATTTCGACAGCGACGAGGACAATTACCCGTATTATGATAGTGGCGTTGGCTTTAGCTACGATAATAACAGCAATACGCAGAATTCACAGTCGCCTCGTGTACACGAATTCGGCAAGTTCGAGGAAAACTATGGCTGGATTCAATGCCAATCTAAAAGCTATCCTAACCGCGTGTATTATCACAATACGCGGACTGGCTGCAACACGTGGTACAGACCTGTTTCGCATTTTATGGACATCCCATTCGTCTCTGTTAGAAAGGTGAGTTGATTTGAATCTGAGAAGGGGAATATAAAATTGTGTTCTTATCCTTTTTACAATTTCTTGCATTTCTCGCGGTTTTGAGGACAATAATAATAGTCTATAACTATATATATATATATATACATTTTTTATCTTAGCCTCTCCCCCTTCTGATGTGTACTTAGAAAAACAAATCGTATTGATATCTTTCTTCGATTGGATATTTTAGAGAGAGGGAGAGAGAGAGAGAGAGAGACAGACAGAAAGATGAGAATTAAGCTATGTAATAAAAAAAGAATAACAGCTAATAAACGAGCAAATAATGAATATTAAAAAAAATATTAACATAATTTATTCAATCAATAAAATATATTCGCCGAATTCTTTGAAATAGAATCTTATTGTAAAGAGTGAAAAAATTAAGCTAGTTTTTTTAGTTTTCTTGGAAAAAGAGTGGCTTAGTTTTCAATCTTTAAGAGTGAGATAAATTAAACATATGAACATTCAATAATATTAAAATTATCTGATTAATAAATTCTAATCTTCAATTCACAATCCTCGAAAAATTAATCTTGGATGCGTAGTTTGATATCTTTACAGTTCGCTTACAAAAATTTCAATTTGATAAATATTAGCTAATTTAATGATAATTTTTAACTGAAAGATAGTAATTAGTTACTTTTTCAGTGCTTTTAACTCTCCGTCTGCAATCAGGGTCTTTTTTGGCACAAACAAAATTCTACTCTCAAATTTCTCAGAAATGAAGAAACTTTATGTTCGGCTCTCGCAAAAATTATATATTAATTATTTATATATATTATTATATATGATTGTAATGCTGTGAGAATAGCTCAATTTGGAACCGAAATGTACGGTTTGTAAAGTAATGTATTTAATTGAATTATTAAATGAATTTTGGTATCAATTAATTGCGTACCGTTTACCGTGCCGACTTTTAAGACCTTTATTTAACTTTTTTTTTTAATTTATTTAAATCAGTAGGAGTTCATTGTTTTACATTTGACATTTATATTTTACGGTTACAGTAAACTTAAGCTGAACAAAAAAAAGACCCAGATTGCAGACGGCGGAAGGAATAAAAATATGATTGCAAATGGAAGGTAAGTAGATAATCACTATCTTCCAGTATTAAATTTTTGTTTGCGACTAAAGGAAAATCTTTTTGATAGGCAAATTACACGGCCGACACTGTGGAATCGACGAACGATTTGGAATTGATGTCAGTATCAGACGATGAGAAAGAGAAACAAATTCCTGCACGTGATGGCAACAAATCGTTGATCGATGTTATGGATATCATGGCGCGATATTACTACACTCCCCAGATTCCCGATGCTGATGACTCGTCCGATATGATGGATGAGAGTGACTGTTACAAGGAAAAGAAAGAAGACATAGATGACGAGAACAACAACATAAACGATTCGCCATTGTACGTCGCAAATTTTCTCGAGAATGAATTTTTCGAGGATACCGAGGAGAAGACTAATCACATATTGGACTCGTTGAACGATAACACTTCGGACGTATCTTCCTTCCCAATGGAACCCGTCATGTATGGCGTACCGCGTTTGAAGAAGATCGACATTGAGTGCCAATTGATCAAACCAAAAAGAACGTACGTCACCAACAATCGGAAAAAGCCAGGACCTAAGAAGATCGTAAGCGATATGTACGGCATACGGACCATCAGTTACAATCTGCCTGAACTGGATGAGGTGTGCGCGGCGATGGGAGTGAAAATATCAACGTTGAGCGATAGCGATAGCGACAGCGACGCGAGCATATTACCTTCGCCGTCGCGACGCTCGAAAACGACGCGGCTGTTGGAGTCCGAGTGGCGCGATATAGAGAAGAACTTGCATCAACCGTTACTGAGCGACTCAAGTTCCAGTTCGTCGTCACGGTCCGATACGACCAGCTCCAGTTCTAGCTCTAGCTCGAATCAAAATAACGACTCCAGCTCCAGCTCCAGCTCTTGCTCGTGTTGTTCATGCGACAGAAGTGCTTGAAGCCTGATCGAAATGTCCTATTATCTTTATGTACACGAAAAGAATGATTTTGTTAAAGCATTTAAAAATTTAGCTAGATGTAGATCTAAAAATAATTTTATTAAACCATCAGAATAATTATTAGAAAATTCAAGTTGAATAATATGGACGTATTCAGGATCTCAATTGGGGAAGGCAAGGATTTATCTATATACACTTTTTGAAATATTTATACATATTATAACTAGCTTTGAGATTGAGCATCTTCGAACTTTTTTAAGAATAGCATGTAACAGATTAGGTAATGAGTATTTATTTTTATAAATTTGTTTATTTTTACCAGAGAGGACAAATGCTCCTTCCTGCTTCTCTTGCGTCCATGAAGAGTAATATTGCAAAAAATTTTGATGTTTTAGTAATTACCTTTAGCGTCCTACATAATTATTTTAATAATCCAACAAAATTAATTTCACATATGTATCTAGTTAAATTTTTAGATATCATAGTAATTGTTCTTTTCGTGTAGAAACGTATAGGATCTTGTCGTATCAATCAGATGAATATTCTCTTTTGTTAAATAATTTTATTTTGGAATTTTATTTTGATGATTGCTAGAAGAATAGCAAAACTTAGCTAAAAGTTTTTTAATTATTACTTTCTATATTTTTTTACACATGACAAGATACAATTTGTATTTGCTATCTTTATTTTTTAGTCTTGTGACTTAAGACTTTTATTTTTATTTTATTCGTGCTAATCGAATAGTTAATTACTACTTTTTCTTTTTTCTATGAACAACATTTTCTGTTGCTACGTACGAAATTGCAAATATATATACAAAAATAAAATCGATGTTGATGCTTTTTTTTCTAAGATGCTGTCTAACTTCTAAAATAAAATTTTATACCGCAAATTCAAATAAATCAAAGCTCTATCCACTAAATGATAGGAAATATTCAAAGAAATCAAAAGTTCTATCCAAACAATAAGATAGAAAACATATCAAAATATTTTCTTTTTATTATCCGTTTCCAAATAATGTCATGCGAGAAATTCGAAGCGTGAAATAAAACACCTTTACATCGAGATGACCGTCGTAGACTGCGATTTTTGCGGTATATAGAGGGTTCCTTAAAAGGGGGGGGGGGAGGGCAGGGAAGCAAGAGAAGAGGAACGTTCCTTTTTCGCTTGCGGGCATTCTTGGTATCCCGCAGTTGGGATCAGTAAGGTAGGAGTGCCAGGGCAGCAGGGAGATGCAGGTGCAACGGTGCGCCTCGGGTCCGTCACCGTGGCGTGCCTCTCGTTTCGCTTTAAGCACGAAGGTTGTGTTTTTGCTGGTCTCGCTGTGCCGTAGCGTCCCACCGCGTGGCAACGCGCCGCGTTATACCGCTTCTCGTCGGCGGCATCAGCGGAACGCGGTGAGGAAGGAACGAGAGACGGGACGACCCCCCCTCGTGGTTCAAGAAACGTTTCGCGCTTCGCCGACGACGTTCTTCCGACTGTATTCAAGAAAATTGATCGCTTCAGCGACAACGACATGACGCGGTCTCGGAACGACGATGACGTTCTTTGCGAATTATCGTTATCAATTTATTTTCATAGATAAGATTGCGCGAAGTTGTATAATACGATGCATCACCTGCGTCAGTATAAATATATGCTGCAATTTTTTTTTATTTATATGATTATATGTTTAATATTTCAATATAAACATGCATCGTTATCGGTTTTGATTTTTGTAAGAATAAAAAGCTATCCTTAATTTCCCTCTTCTCGAAAATATTCAACCAATCTGAAGCTTGCATTTGGAAATCAACGCTTCATACTGATTGACAACAAGCTTGCGATCAGCTTGTAACTAATGTGAAACCGGCTTTAAAGAATTTTACAACAGTTGCAAAGCTGTATTTTCTGCTGAACACAGCCATTGATGTCATGTTACTATTAGTTTGTGTCGACTGAATATTTTTGAGAAGAGGGAAATTAAGGATAGCTTTTTATTCTTACATAAATTAAAACCGATAACGATGCATGCTTATATTGAAATATTAAACATATACCATGATCATATAAATAAAAAAAAAAGTAACATGATTAGTCAGTCTTACTATTAATTCCTCACTGAAATTCTAAATGTGAAAAACCAATCATATTAAGGAATTTTACAACAGCAAAGCTGCTTTTTCTATTGAACGCAGCTAATGTTATAATTTCGCACTCGACAATATAAATGTAATACATGGTGCTACATAATAATGTTAAATTTTTGAGTATGAAATAATATGTTTCAACATAGATCATTCTAATATCGCTTCAACATTGCGATGTTCCATACAGCATGAACATTGCAAACATTGCAACAATATAATTTGGTGCTTTCCAACAAGAAAGACAGCGTGACACAGTGATCATTTCCTCTTTGTTTAACATTCTTAATAACAAAGATTTAATAATCACTGTCACCTGTGTGTCTTTTACTGAAAAGCATCCATTGTTGCAAATTTTTATACTGCATATTGAAGTTATACTATGTATCGATCCATACCTTACGTTTTCAAATAAAACTCTAAATATCCATGTAAATATGTATATATCATATTGTATACAGGTAGAGTATCCTCGATTTGTTACAATTCAATGAACATAACAGCCTCAAAGCTGCAATTCCCGCCCTTTTCCCCTCTCATCAATTCGGAGTCTTATCGTTTTCTTGGATTTTCTATTCGAACCCGACGCAAATCCACCGCGACGATTGCTCGGCCATCGCGACAAGTATAAACGCGCCGAGCGTTCGCCCGGCAAAAATCACAGCCGGTTTTCTAGCTCGGCATATGGCAAACGTTACCTCCGCGCGAGTGTTTACTCGCAGCCGGCGCGCCGTCTCGCGGCTATTATTCGCGCCGTCGTCGTCGTCATCGTCATCATCATCATCATCGTCACCGTCGAATTCGCGTTGGCTGAGAGCTGAGACTGCTGAGAGTCGGCTGGAGAACGGAATGGTTCGACGCGCGAACGACAGAAGTGTGAGGAGCTCGCACGAACGGCCGCGTCGTACCGCGTCGCTTCCGGCTGCCGACGCGCGGTTAATTTCCTTTCGGCACGGCACGATTGTCCGGTTGACCGCGGATTCATCGGCGCGATGCCGCTGGCGTCATCTGTCGTTGGCTATTAAACGCGAGCGAGCGGCCGCGTTGTGATTGATGATGAATGATAAGATCCTCCCTCGTCCCTTGCCGCCGCGCCGTCGTCGATGATTTTTGCAACGGCAAAAGAAATTTGTATGAAATGGAACGATACAATGAGACACGCTCACGTATCTTTGTTACACTCTTCCTCTTTTCTCTTTAAATCGGTATGCACATAGTCGGTTCTTATATTTAAGATGATATCTTGAGTACATAGTCTTAGATGTCATGAATCAATCAAAGGGTCGTATTATCTTAAGATATTACTTAAGATAAGATGGTCTTATATTAGGTGCGCAACTAAGTTCTCGCTGTTATTTTGATGAAAATGCATCAAAATAACAGCGAGAACTTAGTTGCGCAGCTAATAATAAGAATTAATCGACACTATGGATACCGCTCATAGTCATTATGATCTCACTTGTCATTTTTAAAAATGAATTACTCATAAGTGACAATTAAATAAGATCTGATGATGTCCTTAAGATGGTGCTCTCACCAGCAAGAAACTGCACAGTGTAACACAGCTAGTGATCTTTTGTTTAACATTTCACTTTTTGTTTAACATTAGCAAACAAAGATGTAATGATTCACTGTGTCATCTGTGTCTCTTGCTGGAAAGCATCTTATATCATAAATTAAGGTAAAAATTACAAAAGTGAAGAATAAATAGCAATAAATAAAGGGCAAAGTAAGAGTCAAACACATTTAAAATTTAATACAATTAAATAGAATAAATTACAAATAAAGAAAAATAAAAAAAAATGAAAATAAAGAAAACAGTCTAAATTCAAATATAAAACATTACAAGTTACAAATACAAAACATTAAAAGTGAACAAATTTACTACGTAATTTCATTGAACTACCGTTCAATGAAATTATAAATATTCTAAATATATTTACTTACTTTTACTCGCGACTGCTGTAATCGCAGAGTAGTAAAAAACTAGGAAGTATATAATAATGCGTTTCATCAAGATCGATTTGTTATTATTAAAGATCGATTTGTTCTTATTAAAGATCTCCACAATTACAATAAATTTTCTTATTAACTTTTAACTATACAGACTGCTACATAAATTTTCACCTCATTTTAAGATACACGGACACGACTCCTGTTCTTTATTCCTTGTTCCCTGTTCCCTATTCATTTCTTTAATTACGCGCAGCTCCCTTCGCGTTTTATTCTCGTAGAAAAAAAACTGTAAGCCTAGATCTCGCGAATAAACAGTTACGCTTCCCTGCCGTCGAGGATGACGCTTTACAGGTGATTAATGCGATGCGTTTAAGATATTGTCTCGTTCGAGAATCCCACCGATTCTTCCGCCATTGGCGCATATATCATAAAAGCTTATTTTTTTTCATTCAATGCTAATGCTGATTAATTTTCACTTAATGGGCGCTAAAACGCGTTCCATTCGCGCCGCGAATCTTTCGCTCTCTCAAGAGTCACGTTATTTCAAACGGCCATTTGCGCGGGGAGACTTCCGGCTTGTGCTTGACGCCTCACGCCGTACAAGTGTTTATCTGTCAACGCGATAACTGCGGACGCGACACTTTAAACGATCGTTAAAATTCCACTAATTTGTCGCCGCTTAAGGATATATTGCAAACGAGACCTTCATCTACAACATGCAATGAGATACGCAAAAATGTACGTGCATATAAAATTTACGCGAACCGTTTGGAGTCCAAGAGACACACAAAAAGTCAACGAAAAATCAAAATGATTTTATTTCGTTATATAGACGTTAATAACGTTAAGTGAAATTTTGTAATGAAAAATCATCATATTGACTTTCACGATTCACGTCAAAATAAAATTATTTTATCTTTCTATTTGATTTATTTTCTTGGAAGAAAGGC